CCACTGATTGGCCTATTGTAGCCTGCCCCGGGTGATTACGATGGAGATTTTGGTGGAATGAAGATTGGCAGGGGAAACCGAAGCACTCAGAGAAAACTCGACCCAGCACCACTTTGTCCACCACAAATCCCACTTGACCTGACCCGGGATCGAACCTGGGCCGCCGCAGTGGGAAGACAGTGACTAACCACTTGAGCTATGGTGTGGCCTTTGACTCATTATACTACAGCAACCAGTTATATTGTGCATTCTAAATTAGCACTCACACTTCTCACAGGTACACAAAGCACCAAAGAAAAATTAAGACACCAACAAAATGTGAGTAACGGTATAACTACAGTGACAGAAGAACAGTACATAACACAAAATATTCACTTGGCAAACAAAACACTAATAACACATATATTACAGATATGTACACCAGACCAATAATCACATGCATGCAACAAAATAATCGTAACATGATATTTTAAAAATAGTTTTAATTATTTATAAGTACTTTACACCTTTAAATTGCAAAGTGCAGCATGTCAGGGGAGCAGCAGTTTCCTCTAAAACTCGTACATCTGATGATGGTCAGTTGGACCAAAACATATAGTGTTCAAATAACAGGAAGTGACAAATGCTTTGAAGTGCAATACGTCAATGAAGTTGCACAGGGACAGTGAGAAATGCAAGTGATAATTTGGGTATTAGCATTGTTGTACCTTCGGATTTTACTATGGGAGCATTGATTAAGTTGGTTAACAACAAATATAGGTGGCACATGGTAGGGTAGTCGGTTTAGGCACTATGCTACAAGCTGGAAGGTTGTGGGTTTGATTCCCAATCAAGTCACTGGATTTTTAATTGATCTAATCCTTCTAGCCATACTATGCCCCTGGGGTTGACTCTGCCTCTAACAGCAATGAGTACCAGGAATCTTCCTGGGGGTAAAGGGCAGCCGGCACATAAGGTTGACAACCACACTGCCATCTGTGAGCCGATTATCTAGAAAATGAGTTAGCCTTGACGTCTCACAAACCTATGGGCCTCCACGACCTGTTACAGGGATAGCTTTAACTTTTCTCAACAAAAATTATCATAAGCATTTAATCTCACTATGATTACTGCAACATCCATCCAGCTCCAAACGCAACAAAAGTATGTAGCAGATGCATTCACAATTTCAACTGTTAAATATATGTACTCTACAGAGATAAGAACTGTTTCTCTGACTAATTAATAACATTTTACAAAATGTATAAATTACATAGTGCCAAATGACAGATAGAATGAATGTGGAATAATTACAAATGAACTAGCAGTCATGTTAATGGAAGTGATCATTGGCTACCTCATCATTTGTCTGAAGTAACTGAGGAAAACCAAGAAAACTCTCAGTTTGGATAACAAGCCTTCAAACTAAAATTCAGACTTCCCAAAGGAAGCATAATAATCATTATGATGCAACATTCAGTTAGTGATGGAAGAAGTGAGTACAGTTTAAGTACATATACATGTATGTGTCTACATTATTTATTGGATATAACCTCAAAGTTTCGAATCATTCCCAGGCTTATAACTGTCGACATATTGATACTATTTCATACAAAATTTATATAAATGTTTATAATCTATTTGCATACTAAATTTCATATTTCTAGCTCCATAGTTCATCAGCTATTACATCAAAAACATTTTCACACTTTTCAAAGATCTACTTGTATTATCATACATAATTTCAGGGCCCCTTATTAAGCAACACTAGTGTTGCTCCCACCTTACAAGAAATTAAAATGAAGTGGGAGTGGCCTACATTGGCATAATATGCCAATGTAGGCATAATGACATGACATTTATTCAGTTTTTTCAAAGTTGAGAGGGTGACACACAAAGATGGCATTTTGATCTCATAAGAACACATAGTAGGCCAAAAGTGTAATTTATCGGTAACACACCAGGTCTTTTTCTTTTGTTTCTTAAAGGACACTGTTATGACCATGTGATTCTCCAAAAATCCTGTATACACAAAAAATGCCATGTGAATTTTGTTGACTTTACAGGTTTTAAGGTAAATTGGTTATTGTGACTGGCACACACTCTTCAGTTATGCAACAATACTCAGTATTACTGTTGGCCTCATTTTTATTTGTGCAATATAAAACAGTATTATAAATGGATCTATAATTACATGAGTAAACAAAACTGTAACAGCTATAGGGGTTAAATAAAATAAATTATAAACTAGAAAGGATTTGTGAGAAAGCAGTCACAGCATACTTCAAACATCATCTGATATTTAGAAGAATGGAGATGTCTGAAGACTTCAATATTACAAAGCCAGCAAATTATCTCCTATCATAAAAAGGCAACAAATACTCGTAAATAAAATTCTAAAACACAACTGATACGGACACACACAATAGAACAGAACCATTCTACCTTATCAAATTCTTGCCATCAGCAGTTTCCAGACTTTTAGAAGTACACATTAAAACCTACAGCAGACTAATGATTTATGCTACTTCAATGACGTGGTCTCAGAATTTCAATATTTCTAACTAAAAAAGCCTTATACCATAACATATTTTTAAGAATACAATAAAAAGTAATATTTTAAGTGTCACCATTTACAACCTTCATGCTTTCAAAGCTGTCATGTTATTGTCTTCCTAATCAAAGTCACAATTATGGCTTGTCTGAATTTTTTTAAAAGCTCACAGACATGTTATAATGTCTGCTTCTGGTAAAGTATTCCTTAGTAAAATAAGAATTGTGTCTAATGTTATGACACTAGGTATGTTAACTAATGCAGTTGGATGAGGTCTAAGCTATTATTCATCTCCTTAAGAAAATACTGATGAGTCCTTGGAATATGATTACAGTTTTGGATCAACACTGGCAGTGCCAGTTGTAAAAATCAGCTAAAAATTTAAAGACAAATACCTTCCTGTTTCTGCCCAATATACAAAGACTGTCAAGACTCTGGAAAACATACTAGTTTGAGGTACACAGTCCCAAATTGTCACTTTACTTATGAACAGTAATAACACAACATGACATAATTGTAAAAACATAATATGGAGACAAAATTGTAATTCATTTCAGAAAACCAAGAATATGTTCTACAAGCTACTTTAGCTATCCTATAGCAATATGGTGGGGTAAGTGCTAGCATAGTTGGCACTATGCTACAAGCCAGAAGGTCGCGGGTTCAAGTCCCGATGAGGTCAGTGGATTTTTTTCAATTGACCTAATCCTTCCAGTTGCACTACGGCACTGGGGTCGACTCAGCCTCTAACAGAAATGAGTACCAGGAATATTCTTGGGGGTAAAGGGCAGCCGGCACATAAGGCTCACAATCTTGCCACCATCTATGAGCCGACTGTCTAGAAAATGTGGGAACCTCAACATCTCACAACCCGATTGGCCTCCATGGTCTATTACAGGGGTACCTGATACTTGATGACATCGTGCCATATCTGCTAAAAAATGTACACCTTACATAATAAAGCCACTCTTAGAATTGGTCAATGCATCAATCAGAGAAGGCATCTTCCCTTCTAAACTAAAAAAATCAGTAGTCAAACCAATCTACAAAAACGGGATAAAAGAAGATGCAAATAACTATCATCCAATTACTCTTGTACCTGCCCTTTCAAAAGTTCTGGAAACAGTAATAGCTAACCAATTAATAGCATTTTTAGAAAAACACAATATACTTAATAAATCTCAGTTTAGATTTAGGTAAAATAAATCTGCTAACCATGCAATTGCCACAATTATTGAAAGCATGATAGAAAGTTTGAATGATAAAATAAAATGCAACTGTGTACTATTAGACTTATCAAAAGCCTTTAACTGTATTCAACATAACATTCTCATGGATAAATTATACAAATATGGAGTCCGTGGTATACCACATAAGCTAATCAAATCCTATTTCAGAAACAGAACTCAACATGTAAAAGTAACACACACAGAAAGCAATTGTATGAAAGAATATTTGTCAAGTAGCCTCCCAGTGAATTACGGAGTCCCCCAGGGATCGGTCCTTGGCCCATTACTCTTCATCTTGTATATAAACGATATCCCACATCTAACACAAGGCAGATCAATAATTATTGATCTGCCTTGTGTTAGATGTGGGATATCGTTTATATACATTATTATACATATTATACATTATACATTATATATTACATTATATACATTATTATATACATTATAATGTATGCTGATGACACATCAATACTGAATGTAGGACAAGATATGAATGAGCTCCAAAACACGACTTCAAATAATACAGGAGTGGTAGAGAAATACCTTGAGACAAATAATTTATTTATAAATCCATCTAAAACTCACTATATTCTCTTCCAGACAAAACAATGAAGGCAGGAGTGTAATCTAAAAATCCTAATAAAGAACAGGGAAATATCAAATGTAAAAAGCACAAATTTCCTGGGAGTAGTAATAGATAGTACCTTGAGCTGGGAATTACATATTAAAAAAACCTGCAGTAGAATTAGCCGTAACCTGTTCATAATTAACATGCTATCTAAATTACTCAATTTAAATGAAAGAAGAATGTTGTATTACAGTTTGATCTATCCTCATCTATCTTATGGAATAATAGTATGGGGACATAGTGCTAAGACCTTCACTAGAAGAATTTTTGGACTCCAAAAAGGGGCAGTAAGATACACTGCAGGGCTAAAACATCTGGAATCGTGCAGGGATAGCTTTAGAAATCTAAAGATACTAACAGTATACTCGCTATATATACAAGAAACAATCCTATATGTAAAAAAACAGTGTAACTGCACAGTGAATGAACAAATATATACATATAACACAAGAAACAATGAAGACTATCATACATATGGGCACAACTTAGAACTTTATAATAGCAATCCTTCAGTAGCTGGCTGTATCTTTTACAACAAATTGCCTAACAACATAAAAGAAATAGAAAACAAAAGTCAGTTCACAAGGGAATTGAAGAAGTTACTTACTCAGAGGTGCTATTACTCAACGGAGGACTATTTGAATGATGAATTCTTGAATATTGGCTACTGATGTAAGCAGAAGTATATAGTATATCATGTATAAAATGTTGTATATCTTATATAATTTTTTAGTATTAAGATTGCTGTAATTTAACAATGTATATTAGCTGAAAGACTTGTCCTATATCATTGTATCATGATCTACAGGATTAATAAAAGAATGAATGAATGAATGAAAGAATGAATGACCTTTACTTTACTGTACTTTATAGCAATATGATTTCCCTGGAGGGACTGTTGAAGGTTTCAACTGTGATAAGTGCACCTCTGACTGATATTACAATTGAAGTGTGGAATACATGGGTGCTACGCACTATACCGCGAAGTAAGTTAGCAGGGTGATCATACGTAAATGTTCATGTGGGCATATCCAACCAAACGGCCTGCTATTGTTCAAAACAACCTGCCAATTAGGGCATGTGTTCTAAGTCTGTATACATAAATTACAAATTTAAACGAATATACCTTCTTGAAATTTGAATTTCGGTGGCATCTCAACTTATCCCGACACACACAGGGTTAGAGGTTAGATACGTCTGACAGATTTAATTCCTATTCTTCCAGAACTTTAAGTATTAAATACTGCTACTTTTGACGTTTCAATCAAAGCACCATCTTAGCCAATCTTAGATGAGCTATAATTCGCATTGCACTTTCTCTACAAATTCTTAAACGTAAAGTGTAAACAAAAGAACTTCCTTTCGTTGCCCTGGAGTTACTTCTGCCATCTGCAATTAGGGTGAATAACTATGAAAACACGGTACATATCCATAGCATCACAGCATACCACAGATACCAAGTAGTTGAATTTCATATGGAGCAATTGGTGGAATGAAGATTGGCAGGGGAAACCGAAGTACTCTGAGAAAACCTTCCCCAGCGCCAATTAGCCCACCACAAATCCCACCTGACCAGACCCGGTATCGAACCCGGGCCTCCGCGGCGGGAAGCCAACAACTAACCGCTTGAGCTATGGCGCGGCCACATTACTTTGTAACTCTCATTAAAGAAAAGTTATACCTATTAAATCTATAAGGGCGAATGCATACTAAGGAAATTGGCAACTGCAACACAACCACAATTTCCGAGAAAAATCGCTGATTTCAAGCAGGCAAATTCTTTTCAGATTAGCAGGCGCACACTGAGGAAACTTGTTGGATTATTTACTCACATCGTTTTAAGTGGGTATGTTCGTCCGACTTAATGCACAATTGTATCTCTTAATTTCGTGCATTTATACCTTCTGTAATGGAAGATAATAATAATGATCCTGTCATAATATGTTGGTAGTTGAGACCGGTTGAGACGGCGTGAGAAAAAAGATGACCAGGAGGAAAATATTGCGATGCTAATTCATTTGTTTGAACTACTGTGAATTTATTTTAATCGGGAAATATCGCGTTCACATGCGATACGAAATTTTGACGTACAGTGCAACAATTTTAGCAAGATAGAAGACACCTGATGATGGTCGTATTCCGTATTGAGGGGGTGGGTTTCCCCATGCACTTAGACCGGTTACTGGTCCATTGTGCGTCCCCCTTTAATTTCTACTGTCTCCATACCCTACCGGTACTGGTGCTTACTATCAGCCCCTTTCTGCCAGCGAGGTTCCAACCTCTTACTGGCAGTGGTATCTAATAGTTAGTCCCTTTCCGTCAGCGAGGTCGTCCCTCCTCTGGCAGGGGTTCCTAGTCCCTTTCTGCCAGCAAGGTTTCTACCCTCTACTTGGCAGTGGTATTTAATACTTTAGTCCCTTTCTGTCAGAGAGGTCCCCCCTCCTCTGGCAGTGGTACCTGATACTTCCCCCATCTACGGGAGGAATTGGAAACTAGTTGGGCGGGAAACTTGGCCTAATTTTGCTCAGAGGTCTCCTAGAGACATGAGGTTCTTTTACGTGCCGTAAATCTACGACACGGGACCCACGGCTTAAAGTCCCTCCCGGAGGACTTGTTCCCTGAATTTTTCCGCCATTAAAAATTCCACGACCTCCGCCGGGTTTTGAATCCGCGTACCTTGAGGTACCTTGAGGTGGGAACGTTACCCCTAGACTACGGAGGCCGCTCATGATGGTCGTATACAACCGAATCATGTAATGTGGAAGAAGGGTGACTTATAATACGTTGTACTTAAGACGGAAATATTTGTGAAATAAATGACAAATTAATGCAACAAGATGCTTAAATACATTATTATGAAGAGAAAACATTGGGCACGTCCGTTCTTCTGTGACAATTTAAACGGAACATAGCATGTATGTTGTATGGACCATGAGAGATGTTGCAAGGACAGACCCATTTGAAGAAAGTCGTCTTCTGGGTTTTGGCGCCGTGTATTCTTCGTTTTGGTCGACGTTTCAGAGGAACGTATTGCCTCCATCTTCAGAGCAGGTGAATGGCTTGTGAATGCAGAAAGCAGTAACTGTAATGATTAGGAATGTCAAGGTCAAGGTCATGTTACAACTAACGGTCAGTCAGTCTCTCTGTCTTGGTGTCGAGCCCCAGCTGGGGCTCATGACCAGATATTTCTTTTGAATGAAAGTTACTGTCTTGTCTATGTGTAGCGCCCTCTCTGACGAGAGGTCGGGTGTGTTATTTGTTAGTCAGTCTGTACTAATAAGTCCAATGTCTGTATTTACACATATTTAAATTACACACTTATTCCTTATTTAAATGTACAATATATACACGGCCTCTGTCAGTCCAGGCTAGGTACAGCAGAGTATGCCCTTATATATATATATATATCCTAGTAGTATTAGCTACCACGGCAGTCTAGTCACTTGAACGGTTGTATGCCTGACCGCCGCCAAGTTTAAGCCTTTAGATAGAAAGGACCCAATAAGCTTGGTCAAAGAGTTGGGGAATTCCAATTTTGATAATTTAAACAGCAAGCCTGAGTGCCACGTGGTATCGAAAGCTTTTTCGATGTCCAAGAACACTGCAGCCGTATATATTTTATTGTTGAAATTAAGGGTCACGTGGTCCGCCAGCCTCATACATTGCAATGTCGTGCTGTGACGTGCACGAAAACCAAACTGACTTGCGTTGAGCAGGTCTCTTTCTTCAATATGTTTACGGAGGAATTTCAA